GCATGAGAAAAAGAATTGAAGCTGTCAAACGGCGCACCGTACGCCAGGTCCCGCGCACCGTGCGCCAAGCTGGAGCACCGTGCGCTAGGTCCCGAGCACCGTGCGCTAGGTCCCGAGCACCGTGCGCTAATCTGGCGCACTGTGCTCCAGGTCCCGAGCACCGTGCGCCAAGCTGGCGTACCGTGCGCTAGGTCCCGCGCACCGTGCGCCAGCTGGAAAACTGGACTTCTCTCTTTTGCTTCCTTTTGTGGCGTTTCCTGCTATTAAAACACATAAATTGAGTGAGAGAATGATTGAGAAGGAATAATCAATATTTCTTGCATTTATGACTTTTTTCACACATTTATGATTAATTCCTTGCTTCTTTTAAGTTAGAAAGCATCATATGCTAGACGCACATCAATATGCATAAGCTCATAAGCTCAATTTGATGATATTCATATTTTCTCCCCCTTTGACATCATCAAAATCAATTATAGCATATAATAAGGATTAAAGATGGATAAGACATATAACAAATATATCATATATTCAAAGATTACCCATGTCTTGTATCAAGTTTTGATTCTTTGCAACTTTTGGGCTTAGTCTAAGAGGTTCTTCAATTTGCCAATTTCTTCAATGTAATCTTCATCTTTTCATTCATTTCCATTTTCTTTCAAATACCTACAACATCATCTTCCACACTTCCCTTTCTCGGCATATTAGCAAGATCAAGCATTTATCAAATAGTGCAAGTATGAATAATAGGCATTATATGAAGGATAACTCATTTATGATTGCTAATAAGCATTATTTGTGAAAGATACATTGAAATAGGCTTGTTGTCCTATTTTGACAGAATTGAATATTAGATTAAAATAGTGAACTATTCAACTTTATAGGCATGTAGTACATGAAATAGGCTTTCTATCCACATATAAAACATTTATATTGAACATGTATAACATAAGATGAGTTAAAAACAGTTTATGCATGTCATATTAAACACCAAACAACAACTAGACATCATGTGCAAAATGATTTATAAAAAAAAAAATAGTCCATGACACATGATGCATACATGCTCACTAAGTTTTCTTAGGAACATATATCATGTTCTTAACCTTGGGGCTACAGAACATGCTAGATGTGTTAGGTTGAGGTCTATAAGATGTTGAAGCGATGTTGCTCACATTTATAGTCCTCTTAGGAACCCACTTAAGATTAGTTCTGTTTAGGCCACATTTCTTAATATTGCATTGATATACAAGATGACCACTCATGCAACAATATGTACATTTCTTAAATGGTAGTTTAGACATGAACCTAAGAGGATAATGGTTTGTCTTTCTTGGTTGAGCAAATGGAGGTTTGTGAAAACCAAGTCCATGTTTTGTAGTCTCAACCCTTTGTCTACCAAGGAGAACATTCAAGTTATATCTCCCACTAGTCATTCTATCAACCATTACCTTCAAACTATCCACTTCATTAGATAATTCAACACATTTAGTACATGAAATAGTGGAAGGGGGGGTTCACATCATCACATGATCCAACAAGACAATTCATGAAAATATTTTCATTTTTAAAATCCTCATTGTCTTTCATTAGATCATTTACAATGGTGGTCAAACTATCAACTTTGTCTTGCAAGCAATTTTTCTCATTTTTAATTTTCTTAACCTTAGAGGTTAATTTTTCATTTTCAACTTGCAAACACTTATAAGCATACAACAAATCATCATATGATGGACCAACCATAGAAGAGGTATCACAAGAGGAGCTAGAACTACATATTGAATTAGAATCACATACTGAATCAGAATCCCACATAGAACTAGAAGAGTGGCTAGAATATACCTTGATTTGATCTTTTTCAATTTGTGTCATTAAGCAAAGGTTTGCTTGTTCACTTGATGAGGAGCTTGTAGTACTTGAAGTGTCATCCGAAAATACCATGTAAGCTCTCTTCTTTTTGCTCTTACCTTTCTTGAACTTGCCATTGTCATATTTATTCTTTTTCAGGCAATCCTTTTGGAAGTGACCTTCCTTTCCACACTCAAAACAAGCATTGTTTGAGTTGCTTTCTTTTCTACTTGGGTTATTGGCCCTTCTTCTCCTTTTGTTGAACTTTTTGTTGAAGAACTTGGTGAACGACTTGTTAAACTTTTTCACGAACACTGTCATTTCATCGTCTTCACAGGTGCTTGATTCACTTGAAGAAGTATCAATACTTTTCTTACTTTCCTTGGATTGGGAAGAAGAAACTTTTAGAGCTATACTCTTTGAATTTTTCTTGTTAAGCTCACGGTTAGCCCTTCTATTTAATTCCAACTCGTACTCCTAAAGCTTTCCAAATAAAGTAGCAATGGACATTATGGAGAGATCTTTAGCTTCATAGATAGTCGAAGCTTTTGCATCCCATTCCTTAGTAAGACATCTCAAAATTTTGTTAACTAACAATTCATCATCATGAAAAATATTTAAAGCATTCATTGATGTAACTAAATGCATGAAACGTTTTTGCATGTCAAATATAGACTCACCCTCATACATCGCAAAGAGCTCAAACTCTCTAGATAATGCATTTTGTTTAGAACGCTTTACTTCACTAGTACCTTCATGGGTTGTTTCTAAAATGAGCCACATCTCACGTGCGGTCTTACATGAAGATACTCGGTAGTATTCATCCTTACCAAGTGTATTAACTATTAAGTTCTTTGCTTTTGAGTGGTATTGGGCACTCTCTAATTCTGCTCTAGTAAAATCTGTGTATTTTTTAAGCACACTTTTACCATTGTCATCTAGTCTAGTTGGAGGCTGATATCCTTCCTCTACACTATACCAAATTTTAAGATCTACCGACTCAAGGAAAATATGCATCCTTGTTTTCCAGTAGGGATAATCAATCCTATTGAAAAACAGAGGGCGATAGGTGGAACCACCCTCAAGAGGAATATCCTGATGGAAAGAAGCCATAGGATCTTTAACTCTTTGGCAGATAGCCAATCACTCATAGCACTAAGCTCTGATACCACTTGTTGGGCAAGTGACTTCTTACACAGGACGCTTACGGAACACCTAGAGGGGGTGAATATGTGTTCTAAACTTTTTCAAAAACTTTTTGAATTCAGTAAACAAAATATCTAAAAATACCTAACCACTTGTATCTTCAAAATTCAACTTCAATTTGAGACTTTTTGTAAACCCTTTGTCATCATCAAAATATTTATTCCATAATGCATAAGAGGTCTTCAAGATCCTTACAATTTATTGTCGCATAGAAATTAAAAACTGCTTAATTTATTAGGGAAAAGTTTAATTAAAATTTTAAAACCCTTGTGGTTTCTCTTTAAATTACGTATTCTTTTATGGTTATTTTTTTATTGTTTATCTCTTTATGATTTTTTCCATCCAGCCTATTTTCTAACTCTATCAAAAAATAAATTAAACTATCAATTTTACCCATGTAAATATAATCATTGTAAAGATAAGAATTTTATTATGCAATGTTATTGTTTTCATCCAACTGTGATTGTTTTCTAAAATTTATATCAATCTCTCAACAAAGTTTTCACCTCAACGATGTTGAGAGAAAAATTTCAATAAAAGTTGCAAGTTAGCAACTAATTTCAATCTTCCAACAAAACAATAGTCATAACATTGTTATCAAGAATGAATGCTTAGAACTATTATTTTTTTCTTACAAATTTATATATCTTTAAAAAAAATTGACTTGTATTTTATTCACAATTATTGTTAGCAAGAGTTCAATTTAATTCATATTATTTGTATTTTAAGTCAATCAGCTAACCATTTAATTCAATTTATGATAATTGAGGAGCCGATTCAACTCTTTTCTTTTAACTGAATCGGCTACTCGTTTATTTAAATTTTTCTAGATTTTCATGTTTTACTCGTGATTAATTCACTTCTCATCTATTTGTATTTGCTCCTAGATTTAGCGTAATGTTGGTGAGTATTATATATTAATAGACAAATTTACTCCTTAATATATTAATATATTTTCCAGTATTTTTATTTTCTTTGTTACTTATATTTTGACTTACAATTTTTTTCATTTTAATTTTTGAACCCATAAAAAAATATTCACATATAAATTGATTACTTAAGTAATCTTTAATTTTATTTATTAAATTTAAAATATTAATAAATTTATATAACTTAATTTTTTTTATGAAAGATATATAAGTTTGTAAGAAGAAAAATAATAGTTCTAAGCATTCATTCTTGTAAATGATATTGTGAATATTTCGTCTTATTGAAAGATTGAAATTAGTTGTCAACTTGCTGCTTTTATTGTAAATTTTCTCTCAATGTTGTTGGGATGAAATTAATTTTAACAGTTTAGTATAAATTTTAGAAAACAATCAAAGTTGGATGAATAAAAAACAACATTACAGTATAAAATTCTCATCTCTATAGTTATTCTTTTTATAAGGGTAAAATTGATAGTTTAATTTAAGTTTTAACAAAATTAGAAGGTGAACTACATGGAAAAAAATATTGGGCGTAAATAACAAAAGAAAAAACCATAAGGGAGTGTTTGGTTTAGGGTAAATGTTCAGAATGATAGATATCTGATGAGTGGGAATATAAGAAGTAAACGTTTGGTTTAGGGTGGTTCCTGATTTAGCCACCTAAATGTGATTCATAGGAAACGTAGATGCATAGCTATTTCGCCTCAAAAAGTCGGCCAAAGAACTCCTCCCACCAGGTGGTATTGCCAAAAACCTCGACAATTTCTCACCCACTAAACAAAGCCAAAAACGAGCGTACCCCTTGTTTGCGCGTGAAAGGACAATGTCGCAGGAAAGCAATAAGCAGACTTGTTAGAGTTGTCACTTTCAAAGACCAAGACTTGCACTGAGGCACAAGGAAGCATGCAAGCGAATGGGTCTGCAAAATAGGCTTCACCATCGTCTTCTTTCTGGTCTGAAAACCAAAGGAAAGCATCATCAGTGAGCAGGAAGTGAGGTTGCTGTGGGAGGTTTTTCTATGGATGCGAAGGACATCCAGGGATTACCCAAAAATTCCTTCCCACCTCTGGAGAAGAAGTCTCGACCTCAGAAAGAATCTCAGAGAAAACCAGATGGCATTTCGCGGGAGGTACCCTTTCCCTTTCTGTTTTCACCAATCTACACTCCGTTTATTTTTTTGCACCTTAGGGTTTAGCCAACTTAACATTTTTTTTGGGCTGGTTTGCTGAAAATTTGTAGGTGTATGCGCTTACGGGTGGATTGACAGCTCTTATGCCTGCTGTTGATTCGTCTCAATTGAAAAAAAGGCCTCCATCAAATGAAAAGGTTTTCTCTCTTCTTTTTTTCAATAATTCTTTTTTCTTTAATTGAATTTTGTTTGACATGTTCTCCTTTTTCACCCCCTAATTGTTTGTTGGAGCTTTGGTTAGTGATACAGCATGGTCATGTTAGTGAGTTTGACCAAAATTGGGGTTTGAAGCTGTACACTTTTCTTATCTTATACAGTTAGTGATACAGGATGCTCAGTTTGGCTTATTTCTCATGCATTGTAAAATAGATTAATTAATGAAGCATGTGAACCTAGTCATAGTTTTACGAGGTTACTTTGTCTTTACTCTCTTTTTTTCCACCTAGGATATAAGAAGAAACATTATTAGGCATACGAAAGCAAGATTCCCAAAAATGAAAAGAAGAAGAAGCATGTAATAAGATGTCCTCTTATATTTGGTTACGCATTTAAACTGTTTTGCTTTACAAACGAAGAATGAGCTATACTAGGGTAACGTTTCTTTGCAAAATACTCAATCATGCAGGTGGAAAATTTTCATTTTAGTTTAGCTTGATTGTTACTTGTGACAATGTAGGTTGAGGAATGTATAGGTTGTTCATGTGTGTTTCTGAACCTATAAGCTAATGCTTAAAAATCTCTTGAAGAAGAAAATACCAAATGATGTATGTTGTCTAACATTTTATCTTAATGCATTTTCGACTGACATTGTGATGTTATTATTATACATTTGATCTTTTGATGTTTCAGATCACTTGGCAATGGCTTCCTTTCACAAATTCTGCTCGTAAAGATGATCTTCAGCTTTTCCATTGGGTAAGTTCTTCTGTTAGTCTCTGCAAAACTTTATGTTATCTATCAACATGGAAATATTGGGTGTAAGACTTACACCCAATGTTATCTATCAGCATGGAAATAGTCGTTAAATGCACATAGATCAACAACTAGGATTAGGTGTAAGACTTACACTGCTGTAAGTTGATCTTTCCCCATTGTTTAATTGCTAGTTGGTAAATTATTTATATTTCACTGATGATCAAGTTAGCTGTAAATAAAGGGGGAAATTTGTGATCAATTTGGAGAATTCTGTATATCTGAACCTAGCATCGCTTTGTGTCTTTTTCTTTTGTACACTCAATTGTGCTTCCCATTTATAAATTAACTCACCCTTAATCTGTGCTCTTTTGAGAGTTGAAAGTTGAAACATATTGACATTCTTCAAGTATTTTTACATGTATCTCTGTTATGAAGTGTTAAATGTGCTCACCCTTAATCTGTTACTCAATTGCGCTTCTCATTTATAAATTTACTCACCCTTAATCCGTGCTCTTTTGAGAGTTGAAAGTTGAAACATATTGACATTCTACAATATTCTTCTTTTATGTCTGTCAGTTTCACTCATTGGTATTTATTCTGTCAGCACGGTCTTCATTTTGTGCATTATGTACTGCCAACTGCCTCACATTTTAGCTTGCCTCATTATTTTGATTGTGTCCTAGTCTTTTTGTCATGCTACAACGGGGAAAAAGTCATGCTGTGGAGAAGAACATTGGAGTTCTTTTCTCATTGGCATTGACAAAGTGCTCATGCATCAGGTTATGATGTTTGCCTCTTGATGATGTGAAAATTTGATGATCTATGTCTTCCCAGATAAACTCCAAAGGCTAACAACATGAACCATTCAAGCTACTGTGTTTGATGTAGGGTTTATGAAGTAAATATTCTGCGTTGAAGTCAGATGTAATTCCTATGTATATGGACCTTTCCTTAATGAATGCAGTGTGACTATGTATATGGACCTTTCCTTAATGAAGGCAGTGTGGCTTCATTGTGATACTTCTGTTTTTTGTTTTTTGTTTGTTGCATCTTAACTCTGTAATTTAATATAAATGTGATATGTTAACCAGGTTCAAATTACTTCTCCATTCAATGTGTGTACTCAAATGACAATGATGTTGGATTTTAGTAAGATGGTTATCAACACAATACAGAGTTACTATTTTATGCTTGCTTCCTTTTAATTAAGTTGATGTTTCTAGTTACATACGTATCAGAAAAATGTTTAGTTTACTACTCTCTCGAAATAGCTTTAATTTATTTATTCTGGAAAGCTTAAAAAATAAAAGCTTCATAAAAAAAATAAAAATGAAGTAATGATGTTCGAAGTGAACAAAATTTACTGTGAAGGCGTAGATGCCATCCGTTATTGCAAGAAAAATCGAGACGGAGTACGACGTAATTGTAAGGAGAGAATAATGAATGTTGTCAAAAGTGCACCTTTTTTTTTTAATCGAACAAAATTGCACTTCTTCCATGGGCAACAACCAACCAGCCTCCAAATTACCAATCAACATGAATGGTATAGATACAAGAATTTTTAAACTACATGTTTAGACGCCAGGATCCTAAGCATGGGTCCAAATAAGATAAGTTGTTATTATTATCATCATCATTATTACTATTTTGATAAAAAGAAAAGTTAGATATTGTCAACAAAAGATGTATAACACAGCAGATACCGAAACAGTACCAATCAAATGCAATATAATTGGTGTGAAAAATTCAAATGAATAATATGTGGTTTCCATAAAATGGAGAAATAATTATATTCCAACAAAGTTCATAAAACTCAATTCCTAATCAAGCATGCGTAATGGGCATTCAGAAAATAAACGTTAAATAAAAAAGTAATACAATCAGTCATCACAGGGAGCCAACCAGACTTTCTGGTTAGAAATTACATGATTTTAAAATCAGGGTTATTTTCGTAATACCAACTTGTTTTCCCATCTATATTTTACCTCCAACCAAACATAGATTTTATAAAAGTTACCTAATTTCCCCAGTAAAGTTTTTTCCCACCAAACAAATTTATTTACATTTCCCTACCTATCTCACTTTCCAACTATTACCCTATCAATTACATTTCCCTAGTATTCAAGAAATTTCTCCTCAACCAAACGCCCCCTAAAGGAACATGATTCTAAGAAACATTATAGAGGAGGCTTTTGAAATTGTCCCAACTTATAATTACATGACCATAACTCACACACACACAAATTAAAAACTTCTTAACTTATAGGGTGGTATTCTCAAGTGGTAATCTGGATAAGATTTTATGCACAATGTCACATTCTTATACAAATTACTGAATTAGAACATGTCACATTCTCATCCAAATTAGAACCATAGGCAAATTTTTAAAAATTCCCTACCAAATATGATCTTCTTTAAATCCCATGTGAACTTTCTTAGACAATAAAATAAAACTCACCCGGCCAAACACATCCTAAATTTCTTCATTTGAATTCCTTTGAATGATACCCCAACTTCAACGCCACCTTCTTTGTCCCTACAATCAGAAAGACAGATTGTTGCACCATCATCTGCATGAAGTATTTCATGCAACTTGGGCTTTCCCCAACCAAAGTCAGTCTCATACAAGTTCATCTTTGGTGATCCTGCGATTTTCAACACCCGCTCCACGTTCAACTCTATTTTTTCCCTTGCTGACGCAAACGCTTCAACCCCTTTCATAGGATCACCCTGCAGAACTGTAACCGTGTTTCCAATAACACTCACTGCCTCATAAATACCATTTTCTCCAAGTAGCTTACTCCTCATAGCTAGTGTTGCAAATCCTAATTTAAGTGAAACGTTGCAAATTACTATTACTTAATTTAAATTTAACACGCATGTAACGTTTCAAAATTTCAAAACGTTAAAACCATCCATTGAAAATCAATCTGTAAAGAAACTCTTAGAATGGAAACAATGCCAAAAAGAAATACAGTGCCGAGAAAATATTTACCCGTCAAACGTCAAGCACAATATAAAGAAATGGATCAGAGAGAAAAGAAAGCTTTGAATCTGAAGAGTAAAACTGTTATTGATATTATGAAGAGTACAACTTAAGATCCACTATTTATATTACATCGAAGAAGAAAAAGACTAATTACAGTTACAACTGGAAAAAAAAACAATCTGTTATGTCATTATCCTAGCTGGCATTATTATTGGTCAATACCCCCCACAAGCTGAGCGATGGATATCAATGAGACCAAGCTTGGAAATATTTGTGGTAAATGGTTGAGGATGCAGTGGCTTGGTAAAAACATCAGCAACTTGTGCTGAAGATGAAACTGGCATCAAATGGATGAGACCACTAGTGATCTTTTCACGTATAATGTGGCAGTCTAGCTCTATATGTTTAGAGAGCTCATGGAAAGCGAGATTATGAGCAAGATAAATAGCGGATCTATTGTCACAAAAAACAAAGGTGGCCTTTGTTGTAGAGAAGCAGAGATCTTGAAGAAGGAAGTGAATCCATTGTAGTTCACACGTCAAACTAGCAAGAAAGCGATACTCAACCTCTCTGTAGAAGAACGTGAAACTGTGCTCTGTTTCTTTGAATGCCAAGAGACCAAAGCAGAGCCAATGAAGACACAAAAACCAGTAACAAAGTGTCGTGTATCCAAGCAACAAGCCCAATCCGCATCTGCAAAGGCTGAGAGATTATGGGCATTATTTGAAGGAAAAAATAAACCCTTTCTTGGGGAACCTTTTAAGTAACGAAGGACCCTCAACGCTGGTGTGTGATGGGTGGTCATCGGATTTGCAACATATTGGCTCAGTTGTTGTACTGAGAATGATACGTCTGGGCGAGTGGTTGTTAAGTATAGAAGACGGCCAATGAGGCGACGATAAGCAGCAGGATCCTCATAAGGTGTTCCTTGAACACGCTGTAACTTAAGAGAAGGATCAATAGGTGTCATTACAGGTTCTGCCCGCGTGGTAATCGATTAATTTTCACTTGGTAATCGATTACCATGTGCAGTAATCGATTACTTTGTTTTGGGTAATCGGTTACCATGTGCAGTAATCGATTACCAAGTGTTTGGTAATCGATTACCCCCTGTCAAAATGACCAGAAACTAGTTTTAATGCGTGGGAAAAGTCCCTATTTGGGCACGATGCCCTAGGAAGTCTGTGTTACTGTTGGGAAACAGTAATATCTTTAATTGTGGGGCTTAATGTTTGATAATTATGAACTAGAAAAGATGTAAACGAAAAAGGAAATGTTGCCATATTGAAATGAACCTTTAGAGTTTGGATATTGATGATATTTCTGATATAAACAGACTGTGATTGTGCTGTTTGGTGACCTTGGGCCAGTGTGGACTCTTTGGTTGGATAGTTAGCTTGCGAGGTAAGCTTTTGTGTCCTCGGTTTAGCCATTGTTGGTTCCACTATACCCATGGGGGAATGGTTTATATGCATGATGTGTTTTCATGTATTGATTTTGAAATGTTGTTGAGCTTTTATGTGCAAATGCCTTATAATATGCATGTGTTGTTCCACCTAGACGGTAAGCCTGTGTATGTAGGAGACATACCATAGGGTGATTCTATGGGATAGGTGAGAGTGGTGTCTTGCACTGATTGTAGGTAATAGACGTATGTAAACCCTGCATTTCTCTGGCCAGTAGAATAGTTGACACACATAACATGATTATTCTGCTGCATTGCACTGATTCTGGAACTTATACTGTTTTACTATTTTTAGAACTTATATTGCACATGTAAGTGAGCTTGGGGTGGAGAAATCCTTGAGGACCCCTTCTCTTACTGAGATTTCTGTTTAGAGATATCACCCCACGTTTGGGGCATATTTTCAAGTTCAGGTAACTCGGGGATTGATACCTCGGGCGGCAGGAGGTCGGAGCTGAGTTAAGAATTATGCTTTTATGATGATGTGCTGGATTCTGACATGCTTCACATTTATTATCATGTTATTTGATGTGAGACCCTGTTGGGCTTTATTGCCTTATTTGGTGAGCATGGGGATTGTCCATGCCATATTGACTTGACTTTGTTGATTTAGTTTCGAGTATATAATTGTATCAGGATTATGGTCCGGACTACGTGTTGTAGTTCCGTGACTTAGATACTCACTTATTTATATTATGAGGTTATTCAGTGTAGATAGCTGTTTATTTGCAATTACATACAGACAATCTCTTGAAAAGAAATTAAGTAATCAACTTGGTTAATGTAATGACATCATAATTGAAAAGAAAAAGTTATTTCCGTATTTTTAAATTAGTGCAGCCTAATACAATGATATGTTAACAAACCGGGTATACACGGAGTGTTACAAAGCTCATTACCAAATGAAAAAAATCTCATAACACATATCCTATTTATACACAAAATATTTTCATTTTTTTAATGACTATTTTTTAACAAAATATTTTTTTTATGCAACATTGATATGGCTAACTATTACCTATGTATAAAGTAATGGGATAATAAATGAGTTGTCTGTCATAAATAATTGTTCAAATATTTTCTCACAATTACAAAGTTTAAAATTCAAAATTCAAAATCAAAATTGAAATTTAAATGAAATTTGAAATTTAAAATAAATATTTCAGAAAGCAGTGAGTTATTATTAATTTGGAAATTCTAATGTAGAAAGCAGTGGGGTATTAAATGAGTTGTCTGCCACTAAAAATTGTTGACACATTTTTCCATTTAATTTATTTCCAAATTTCAAATTTATTTTATATTTTTTTAATTTCATCTATTCACTAAAGAAGGAAAGTTTTCAAATGGCATGTAGTGTGAATATAAATGTGAGACTGAAGGAGGGAGTGACACATCATCAAAGTTTCCAAAGAATGAGTTTCCTTTATATATATATAAATTACGATCCTAATTCAATGCAACAACCATTATTGAGGGAAAATCATAAATTCTCTAACCATGCTCTGATACCACATGTTCGGTTTTCTATATAATTTCATGTTCAAACATGAAATAATAAGAACAC